ACACGGTCAAATGCTGGAATTTGCTGCTGGATGAGCCAGTCCAAGCGACTTCTCAGGAGTTCTTTCAGAGAAAACCTGACATATTAGTAAGGAATAAAGGGAGTATCTCATTAGAATTTACTATTTTTTGTTTTACCGTTTAGTATGCCAAGATTTTTACCCGGCTGCACCGGTGATCCACTGCTACCAGATACGGAGGCCCGTTAAGCGAATTCTTCCTCTATTCCGTCCACAACCATGTAAATGATCACCCAAGCATAATACATTCGCCAGTGTTATTATACACTGATGATGTAAACATCTGGCGAGTTATAACCGGAGACGCAGAAGCATGCGTACTTCCGGCAGACTTAAATACTATGATTAACTGGTCTACAGAGTGGCTGATGCCTATCAACGCGATAAGGTGTGTCTACATGCACTTTGAGGATACAGAGGTTGATGGGTACAGCTACCCGTGCAAGTTCAGTACTCCAGTGTATACCATACATTGAGCGACTTGAAAAACTGGACCCCCTTACTCTATCCTATCGCAGACTAAGGGGAGATCTTATTTCGATGTATAGAATACTAAGAAATGATTTTGGACCCAACATTTTTTCTTTTTTTCTTTCCACTAGATAGGGACATCTCAGAGGACATCGTAGACGAGTAGGAAAGTCAAGAACGAACAAAATAACGTGGCATACAGGTTCTCATACCGAGTCATCAATACTTGGAACCTGTTACCCGAAGCAGTGGTGTCCGCATCATCAATTTCTGTTTATTGATGATATTCCGAGAAATGTTTGTTATCGGATTTTACTACACTAAGAAGCACTTAAATGTTTGAATGAGATAAAAAGTTTCGGAAACCTCTACGCTTCAAGAAAGCTTAAATATGATAAATAGTTAACGCATCACTTCATTTTTTGGGTAGTACAATAAGACAAGAACCATACCTATGCAAATCTGGTAATCCTTTTTATCTCTAAAATAACATATCTCAAAGAACAGCATAGTCCCCCACATCTGGAATTTGCTGCTGGATGAGCCAGTCCAAGCGACTTCTCAGGAGTTCTTTCAGAGAAAACCTGACATATTAGTAAGGAATAAAGGGAGTATCTCATTAGAATTTACTATTTTTTGTTTTACCGTTTAGTATGCCAAGATTTTTACCCGGCTGCACCGGTGATCCACTGCTACCAGATACGGAGGCCCGTTAAGCGAATTCTTCCTCTATTCCGTCCACAACCATGTAAATGATCACCCAAGCATAATACATTCGCCAGTGTTATTATACACTGATGATGTAAACATCTGGCGAGTTATAACCGGAGACGCAGAAGCATGCGTACTTCCGGCAGACTTAAATACTATGATTAACTGGTCTACAGAGTGGCTGATGCCTATCAACGCGATAAGGTGTGTCTACATGCACTTTGAGGATACAGAGGTTGATGGGTACAGCATAGGGGAAATGCTTGTCCCCTTGGTTCAATCATATAAGGATCTTAGGGTGATAGTGAGTCATGATCTTAAGACCACGGACCATTGCCAGGAAGCCGCAACTTAGTGTTTAGAACCACATGGGCTTTAGGACGGACATTCACCAAATTAGATACTACCATGTTCACTACAGTACACACAACTTTAGTATGAACTAAGCTTGAGAACTGCGCTCAGGCTGCATGTCTCTGTTTAAAAATAGACTCGGATATCCTGGAAAAAGAACAGACGGCAGCTACCCGTACAAGTTCCAAACTCCAGGGTATACCATACATTGAGCGACTTGAAAAGCTGGACCCCCTTACTCTGTCCTATTGCAGACTAAGGGGAGATCTTATTTCGATGTATAGAATACTAAGAAATGATTTTGGACCCAACATTTTTTCTTTTTTTCTTTCCACTAGATAGGGACATCTCAGAGGACATCGTAGACGAGTAGGAAAGTCAAGAACGAACAAAATAACGTGGCATACAGGTTCTCATACCGAGTCATCAATACTTGGAACCTGTTACCCGAAGCAGTGGTGTCCGCATCATCAATTTCTGTTTATTGATGATATTCCGAGAAATGTTTGTTATCGGATTTTACTACACTAAGAAGCACTTAAATGTTTGAATGAGATAAAAAGTTTCGGAAACCTCTACGCTTCAAGAAAGCTTAAATATGATAAATAGTTAACGCATCACTTCATTTTTTGGGTAGTACAATAAGACAAGAACCATACCTATGCAAATCTGGTAATCCTTTTTATCTCTAAAATAACATATCTCAAAGAACAGCATAGTCCCCCACATCTGGAATTTGCTGCTGGATGAGCCAGTCCAAGCGACTTCTCAGGAGTTCTTTCAGAGAAAACCTGACATATTAGTAAGGAATAAAGGGAGTATCTCATTAGAATTTACTATTTTTTGTTTTACCGTTTAGTATGCCAAGATTTTTACCCGGCTGCACCGGTGATCCACTGCTACCAGATACGGAGGCCCGTTAAGCGAATTCTTCCTCTATTCCGTCCACAACCATGTAAATGATCACCCAAGCATAATACATTCGCCAGTGTTATTATACACTGATGATGTAAACATCTGGCGAGTTATAACCGGAGACGCAGAAGCATGCGTACTTCCGGCAGACTTAAATACTATGATTAACTGGTCTACAGAGTGGCTGATGCCTATCAACGCGATAAGGTGTGTCTACATGCACTTTGAGGATACAGAGGTTGATGGGTACAGCATAGGGAAAATGCTTGTCCCCTTGGTTCAATCATATAAGGATCTTAGGGTGATAGTGAGTCATGATCTTAAGACCACGGACCATTGCCAGGAAGCCGCAACTTAGTGTTTAGAACCACATGGGCTTTAGGACGGACATTCACCAAATTAGATACTACCATGTTCACTACAGTACACACAACTTTAGTATGAACTAAGCTTGAGAACTGCGCTCAGGCTGCATGTCTCTGTTTAAAAATAGACTCGGATATCCTGGAAAAAGAACAGACGGCAGCTACCCGTACAAGTTCCAAACTCCAGGGTATACCATACATTGAGCGACTTGAAAAGCTGGACCCCCTTACTCTGTCCTATTGCAGACTAAGGGGAGATCTTATTTCGATGTATAGAATACTAAGAAATGATTTTGGACCCAACATTTTTTCTTTTTTTCTTTCCACTAGATAGGGACATCTCAGAGGACATCGTAGACGAGTAGGAAAGTCAAGAACGAACAAAATAACGTGGCATACAGGTTCTCATACCGAGTCATCAATACTTGGAACCTGTTACCCGAAGCAGTGGTGTCCGCATCATCAATTTCTGTTTATTGATGATATTCCGAGAAATGTTTGTTATCGGATTTTACTACACTAAGAAGCACTTAAATGTTTGAATGAGATAAAAAGTTTCGGAAACCTCTACGCTTCAAGAAAGCTTAAATATGATAAATAGTTAACGCATCACTTCATTTTTTGGGTAGTACAATAAGACAAGAACCATACCTATGCAAATCTGGTAATCCTTTTTATCTCTAAAATAACATATCTCAAAGAACAGCATAGTCCCCCACATCTGGAATTTGCTGCTGGATGAGCCAGTCCAAGCGACTTCTCAGGAGTTCTTTCAGAGAAAACCTGACATATTAGTAAGGAATAAAGGGAGTATCTCATTAGAATTTACTATTTTTTGTTTTACCGTTTAGTATGCCAAGATTTTTACCCGGCTGCACCGGTGATCCACTGCTACCAGATACGGAGGCCCGTTAAGCGAATTCTTCCTCTATTCCGTCCACAACCATGTAAATGATCACCCAAGCATAATACATTCGCCAGTGTTATTATACACTGATGATGTAAACATCTGGCGAGTTATAACCGGAGACGCAGAAGCATGCGTACTTCCGGCAGACTTAAATACTATGATTAACTGGTCTACAGAGTGGCTGATGCCTATCAACGCGATAAGGTGTGTCTACATGCACTTTGAGGATACAGAGGTTGATGGGTACAGCATAGGGGAAATGCTTGTCCCCTTGGTTCAATCATATAAGGATCTTAGGGTGATAGTGAGTCATGATCTTAAGACCACGGACCATTGCCAGGAAGCCGCAACTTAGTGTTTAGAACCACATGGGCTTTAGGACGGACATTCACCAAATTAGATACTACCATGTTCACTACAGTACACACAACTTTAGTATGAACTAAGCTTGAGAACTGCGCTCAGGCTGCATGTCTCTGTTTAAAAATAGACTCGGATATCCTGGAAAAAGAACAGACGGCAGCTACCCGTACAAGTTCCAAACTCCAGGGTATACCATACATTGAGCGACTTGAAAAGCTGGACCCCCTTACTCTATCCTATCGCAGACTAAGGGGAGATCTTATTTCGATGTATAGAATACTAAGAAATGATTTTGGACCCAACATTTTTTCTTTTTTTCTTTCCACTAGATAGGGACATCTCAGAGGACATCGTAGACGAGTAGGAAAGTCAAGAACGAACAAAATAACGTGGCATACAGGTTCTCATACCGAGTCATCAATACTTGGAACCTGTTACCCGAAGCAGTGGTGTCTGCATCATTAATTGGCTCATTCAAGGGAAGACTAGGCACTAAAAGAAGCATACTAGAAAAGAAATAACGTGAGCCGTGGGCCTTCTGTCTTTACTACACAAATCTGAATATGAACATTCGAAGTAGACAGATAGTTAATTCACAGTTGAGAAACGGTGTTGGAAAAAAGCCTTCATTGAACTTATTTGGTCTCACCGCGAAGATTGCGAGGCGTTTAATGTACAAATTACTTGTTTTATAACTGTTTTTCTTATTATAGACCATAGAAACCTTAGGTTGTATGAATCAGACAATGGGAAGAAGCGGGTAGACATACTTATATTGTTCAATCATAAATTAGGTTGTGAGCTGTTAAAAGCATAAGCTGACTTACAGACTAAAAAAACTGTGAAAACTATTGCCTTTTTAAAGATATTTGATTTTTGACTTCACTTGTTTTAATACTTTGGAGGCCATGTGCATATCCTGTTCAGTGGTTTTCCATCAAGTCCATCTGCAATGGCGACCCAACCTAAAGTACCCCGTCCCAGTAATGATACTGGTGCTGATGGAGAACTAAGTAAGTCTAAATGTACACGTTTACTTTTCTACAAAAATATCCGGCTGGTGTTATGTCTATAGGATTATCTCGCTACTGATATTTTTGTTTCAGGTTCGACTAACACTCTCATCGATGAGATAGAGGAAGTACAAAATGCCATTGACAATCTCAATGAGCAAGCCAGTGAAGAGATCCTAAAAGTTGAACAGAAGTTCAATAAGATGAGACAACCTCACTTTGAGAAACGGTGTGAGCTGATATCCAAGATCCCCAACTTTTGGCTCACTACGTTTATTAATCACCCTCAGTTGTCAGACTTGCTTACGAGCAATGACGAGAATGTATTAAAGCATTTGAAAAAGGTAGAAGTTCAAGAGTTTGAGGACATAAAGTCCGGTTTCCGAATTAACTTTGTAGGTTCTAATACATTATCTAATCAGTTTTGTTTTAGCATTTTGAGAAGAATGAGTGGTTCAAGAACAGTGTGTTAACGAAAGAATTCCATTTAGGAGATAGTGGCGAACCATCTTCCACTTACACCAAGATAGACTGGTATCCGGGCAAAGATCTGACAAGCAATTCGTCTAATTCTAAAAAGAACGGTGGTGATCAAGCTAAGAAACGGACATTTGAGGACCAGACGCAAGATAGTTTCTTCTGCTGGTTTACAGATGAATCCTCAGTATTTGGCGACGAACTGGGTGAAGTAATAAAGGATGACATCTGGCCAAATCCACTCCAATATTACCTCTCACCAGATTTAGACGAGGAAAATGGTAAGTGCTGTTTTTTCAAATAGTCATGACGTCTCATCTCTACTGTAACTAATACTCATGGTTTAATTTTGTTTAAGAAAACGATGAAGAAGATGAAGATGACGATGATGATCAGGATCTCGACGAGGATGAAACTGGTGTAGCGGATGTTTAAAGATCATTGCAATATATCATTTCCATTTAAACTTCAATCTTTGTTTCCCAAACGTGTATGTCTTCGCATCTGCATGGAACAATATTGAGACATTGATTTGTTGTACCATGGCAAAAACAGACTGTTTCCACACTTGTACATCGCGCCCCGGTTTTTATGTTCCACTAATGAATACGCCTTTGTGTCATTTTGCATTTAATTGTAGCTATCGTCATACCGAGGCATATTCATGTGTCATGTGTTGGCTTTAATTTGACTGTTTTTATCCAGGGATCAGCGTTTTTGCCGTTGTTTCTGTTCCAGCCGCTATGCGTCTTAAGATTTTTGTATCAACACTTTTCGAAACGTGAGGTCATATCTCAAACTTTGTTTCTAATAAACAGTTATGAAGGATAGTTCTTATTCTAAAACTCGAAATAACGCCCCTTCGTGGGAAGTTAAGTATCTTGTTAATATGTCGGGTAGTTTACGTCCGAGCATTCATGACATCGGTTTAAGCACTCACATGTAAAGACAAAAATAGAGACAAACTCGAATATTACTCCGTGCTTTTTAACGGTCTGGGTTTTCTATTAGTCGCTTCTGGGGTCTGTCCTACCATAGGTGGTACGGCTCGATCAGCACCGGTTCCTATGCTTTTCACATAGTGCGGTGCATTGACCCAATGATAGTTGGTGGGATATGTAGTTGTTATTCGTCTGGTTGCTGGTAGTCGCTCGAGGAACGTTAGCGATGTCGGGGATGTTCATCAGTTTACGTCTTCGGTTCATAATATGTAGGTTCGAGCTGCCATCGTCAAGTCTATTGAGGTTGTGCCGTAGGTTCGTGTTTCACAAAGTAGTGGTCTCGGGTGCTACGTCGGAGAATGAATATTCGCGCTTTTTGTATGCGGCAGGGTTTTGACTGGAGATGTGGGCCGTTATGTTTATTAACCTATGCCTTCGTGGTTGCCGTTGTATGTGTTTGCGTTTATGGGTGAAATACAAGTTGACTTACTCGATATGACTAGGTTTTGGCTATGAGTCAAGCGTATCTCTTTCGGATTTCAGCTTTAAAGTATTGTGGATGTACTTGATTTCGCCCGGACTAACCGTACGCATGTTTGTTAATCTGGGCGTTTGACGAGGGACCAACGTGGTAGTCTTATGATTACCTATGGAGTGCTTCCAGGTTCTACGGTGCATCTTATTCCTAAACTGCTTTCTAGGCTGAGTGATCGCGGTTACATAATTTGTTAAAGTTACGGCCTCACCGATGGTTTAGTTTAGCGCGTAGTATCCTGGACAGTGTTATGTGTGTTCATATAAGCAGAGCCTAACACCGCTTTGCTACAGAATCGGCAGGCTATCTATTTAAACAAGCATTGGTACAATAAGCTCCAAGTGGATTTGCGTGTCGTGGATAATTCGGTTGTGTAAGGGTTGGGAGGTTGACCATAGATGGCGTAAACTTGTTGGGCGCAGATCCACAAGTCACTCCAACCCAAGCTCCCAAATTTGAGGAAAATTCCCCGGGTCTGGTTAAATTTTGGAGTGTTTGTGCCTTTTCCCCAAAATTGGGAGCTTGGGTATTGAAGTCGCATTTGATGGAGCATATTTAGTTGCAGACTTTTGGCTGTAAAGAGGTCGGTATTGACACCAAATTTGTTATTTTCTATTAAGTTTTTTAATTTGTACAGGACAGACATTTGATGGAGGAAACCATCTCACTTTTATTTTGTCGTAGATCAGTACTGTGTCTGTAACGTCTGTATTCCGCTCCTCTAGTTCTTAAGGAGTGTGGCAAAGCCCAGAAATACTTGGGTTTGACTGTTGCCTCCATAACTTTCAGTTGTAGATGATTGTGTAGACTATATTGATTGTCAAGTGTATGTTGCGCTCTGCAAATGCTTTGATCGAGTGTTTTTTCTGGAACGTTAGCTAATAGGAGGATGGTTGCAGTTACGAAGATTGATCGAGCAAATGGTTAGGTTTATGATACTTTGCAATGGCGACGCTTCAGACGACATTGTCAAAACAATCCAAATTAGATAAATAAAACAGAAGATCAAGACTAAAGGTTGGTGCAGAATATTATGAATTCATTTTATTTCGTTAAGTTCTCATCAGCTGCTCACAACCTGGGTTGTAATAGTCACATTCAGTGCGAAGTCGGACTTGAATTGTATGTATTAATCTTACAGTTCGACTGTATCGACATTAAATTCTAATCTAAATAAAGTTCATCGTGAAATTGTAATGAGCGGTAAGTTAAAAGTATTTCAAGATATAAAGTTATGTAGTACATATATCCTATCTCAAGCTGTTTAATGCTTATTAAATTATTTTTGTATTCTAAAGAAATATTTATGTTTCAGGTCACGCATATTGCTAATAAACGTTAGACTTTTCTACAAACATATTTTTTTAAATACGGTCAGTTGTTTAATGACTTTCTATGTTTAGCGTCCAGTACTACAGTTAACGATTGTTACTCAGCTTTTTATATGAATAATCTTGTGAGTTAAGTTACAGTGACTACAGAATGACGTATATTATTGTTGGCTTTAATCGTATCTTCTGTTATAGTCGCAGTTGTGAGTCAATCACTCATGAGTCTTCTATGCATTTATGGATTAAATTTTCTGTTATAAGTGTAGACCATTAGTTGAAAATTAAACATGTATGATGATTTTACAGAGAAGTACGAAGGAAGCACATAAAATCTCACAACTACTAAACTAATCAAAATTCGGTTCTTTCATATCAACAATGAGAGGATTCAAAAATATAGAGAAATATGATAAAAATTCAAATATTAGTAAATTACTACTTGTGTTTTTTGATTTTTGTTAAAATATAAGTGCGTTACTTCCACACTACATACTATTAAAATTGTTCATCATTGGATTATGGTCTATTTTTTAATATACTCTTAATCGCTTTATCTTGGTTTCTAATCATTAGACCATGATTAATCTGTGTTTATTAAATTGTCAGAAATTGTGTCGAAACTTAAACATTACTCTCAGTTACGCATTACCTAATAATGAGCCGTTTTAAACTAAGTGTATAAGGAGTAAGACGAAATACTTTTACAAAAAGAGGTAGTCATTCGGTCACCATCTATAAAATGTTAGAAGAGTAAACAGGAACTTTGTCCCGATTAGATGGAATAGAATACTTCTCATGTGTACCTACAACTGTTTCGATTTAAGAAATTGTAGGGATTAGATATATCGACCGTTCTACCTATGTGTGTATAGATTAGGTTGAGTAAGTTCCGTCAGCTATGCGAAAGCACTTGTTGACGAAACAACCAATTTGATCCTAAAGACTAAAATATGTTTTGTAAGGTCGTTATAATGCATGTGAGTGCAAACAATATGTTTCTTATGTGTAAAAGACAAACGAAGCGACGTTAAAGTTCTAGGTGAATAAAGTGCTTGATCAATGATATTAGTTGTGGAAGATAATCTACTGATATGATTTTAATTAATCGAAATTTCAGTTTATTATTTAACAATCATGTTGGAATTATGACAAATTTAATCAGTGGCGGTGTATAATCGCAAATTAATACAGAACGACTGAAACTTGAAACAAACTATTGGGTGCCAACCCAGTGGTCTAAAGGTCACACACACTAAGGTCTTGGGTTCAACTCCATGCGGGTTAGTGAATTCTCACTGTTGAGGCATCTCGTACTAGGACGAAACAGTTGTCCAGTATTTCCTGGTTTTCAACGGTTATCTTACTGTAGCTAGCTAGTGATTTGGAACTCCAGTTTTAACATTTTCCACAACATCCTATAGTGAAGTCATTGTGTTTAAGAAGTTTTTCACTACAGAGTTGTCTGCAGACATCAGATGATTGACGAAATCAGTTCAAACTATTCGAAATGGAGGGGATCATGTTAATTTGATTATTGTTCACATTGTTCTTTAAACCCAGATGCTGCATATATTTTACATCATTTTAACAATTTATCTTTCGGCTTTATTACTTAAAAGCGTAATGTCCATAATGTTCGATAATCTAAACAGCAACTTAGAGTTTTTAAGTTCGGATGTTGGTGACAAGAATTTTTAAAGCATGGTTTCGTACTAAAGTGCACTTGTTAGCAAGGTGTATAACACTTATTTATGGGAATAATTGTTTACCATGGGATCTGAATACTAATTAACATGAAACGTTGGTCCAGAGCTTGTAATATACACCCAGTAGGTATTTGCTTTTTTGAGATCGACTGTAAGCCAATAAAATATTCTGACACGTGCTGCACATGAGGAGGAATGAATATACATGTGATTAACACAACCGTCACAACTTTTAACATACTGTCCAGTCAGTGGATAATATGTGAATTCCAGGGAAGTTTGTATTTCGAACGATGTTAGTCGATGAATCCTAGATTTTCTTAACTATACGCTGATATTAGTTAGCAGTATCATTTTTCTACGATTATTGGATAGTCTTCATTTTCATTAGACAAGGTATTCAGCATACCTAGACCGTTCCCTATACGTATTAATGCAGAGCTCCTTATGATCTAGATTTCAGAGTGTATATTTCCTCTAAAAGACAGAAATCCAGATTAACTTTCAAATGAGTCCAGCTGGTCTTAAGTTGAAGAAATTTCAAACAGAAATCTAGTTCAATATTACTTGATTTATTGTAGATTTTCAAAGAATACTAACTATTTATGAGCTTGCGCACTTAAGTAGTAGTTCGTGAGGAGTTTTTCCGCATTGTGATGTCAGTTGCAAAGTTAGGAACAGTGTAAACCAATGAATACTAAATAGTTGGTTTCCACTAGTTTTTATCACGACAGTTTATGACAATTCTCAATGTAGTAGTAATTATGTGACGAGTATGTTGCATAATTAAAAGAATTTAGTCTTCAGTAACAAGAATAGTAGGCTGGTGGACCTGTTTTTCCTAGCGAATGTCCAGCGTCTATCTGGAGATGTTTACTCATGGGTCTGATACCATTTGTTCAGATAAGGTTTGCCAGTCATTGACAACTCGATTAGAAAGACTGAACCCCCCTCTGAGTTTATGAGATCGCGGTTTCCTAACCTCGGAGATGACTAGTTTGGAAGAGAAAAAAAAGTGATATTAACACCCAAATCGTTATTAAAGATATAGAATGCCAATGTAAGATCACGTGTTCCACGATACGATATGGGGAGAATATCTAGACGTTTTAAGCCCTCATCTTAAGGATGTTTGGAAAGACCATTCACTAGCTTTATTCCCTAACGCTCGAGTATGTCAGTATTTTAATGAGACATGGGCCAGCTACTTGGACTCAGTACTCTACGTGGGATATAAAATCCGAAACAATTCTTCAACGCATTTAGATGCTCGGCGAACTGAATATAACGCTCGAAAAGCTTCGGCTACTACTGCGT